GTTCTTTTGAGGCCCTCAAGGTGGCGCTCATGGCCCACAGGTTAAGAATATCTGCCCTACACAACGTATGAGAAAGTGGTTAAATCATGTCAAATTTGAAAAGCGTCCGCTCCTTTAATGTAAAAATACAGCCTATGCTCTAAGTTTATGTTAAAAWKTTTTTACGTTGCAATTTCTTRCTCAGGATGTGCTCGTGCCCAACATGCCCCTGACGTGACTCTGACTGTTGCAACACATGAACCACCACAACTCCCAACTGAGCTATGTTGGTTGTTTCCATGATTTTGTCACGGTCGCAGCACCGTGTTCTTAATAAACATTTAAAAAACTTGCAAAAGCACATTATGTAATAACACTGCAATATGTAATAATGTAATAAAATCAGGCTTTAAAATGTAATAAAGCATTAAAACTGCATCATGTAATAAATGAGGCAAAATATACTAAGAAATGTTTGAAACTATTTGCTACAGCCTATGCTGTGGTTTAGACAGTAACTTTTCAGAATTAAATATTTCTTTTTTGTCTTTCATCTAGTTTTTTTTAATAATATATTTTTTATTTAACTTGTCAAAAAGCCACTGAACCTGCAAAGATGAATAACTAATAACTGTGAAATGACTCACCTCTCTATTTGTGACAGGAACTTGGTCTCAAAGATGCCTCTGGTCTTCAGAGTCTCAGAGATTTGTCCCCGGAACAGAAAACCACGCTTGGTTAGATCGATTAAAATCTGACGGACAATTTCACCCAGGTACATTCCACTGCACATCTTCTCATATCTGAGGTGGATACAAACAAAATCAGTTTCATTTGTGAGAATTTTTACTTCATGAATTAACAATTTTCATTTGTTTAAATTAGGCATGGGCCGGATACTGGTCTCACGGTATACCTGAAGAAATTTATAGTTAGGGCCTAGTACTGATTAAATACAACACAGAGTTAGGGTTTTCTATTTTTTAATACCTTTATAATGTTTGTTATATTTCTTACAATGTGTTAATAGGGTAGATACATGTCCGAAAATAACAACACATAATTGAAGCTGTATTAACATTAGATTTGAGGGCTGTTTGTAGGAATGCCTGTGATTCAGCTGTAGGCCAGCAGGGGGCGAACTCAGGCATTGAAGATCCTGTATATATTGGTCGACTTCCTGTTTTGACTCCCAGTGTGTGGTTTCGTCGTCATCCTGAATGGCATTAAACCCCACTCCAGAATTCTGCTTTGTATGGCGTTATTTCACACAGGTGTTTTAACTAACTTCAGCCGATATTGCTACACATTCTCACTCCCGACTCGTCACATATTGACGCTTTTCCAAGGTTCCCTCCACGTCCGATTTTGA